AGGTGCTCAGGAGACATGTAGACTGGAAAAAGAGTGATTTTGGAGAAAAGAAATTGGTTTTCTCAAATGAAGGTTTTTCTCTGGTTGGAGGAGGCTGGTGTTCTGGAAATGGACATATGCCTTAATACAGATGAAGGATGGGGAAAGCAGGCTGCTAAAATATCTAAAAATGATAACTGTAATCAGGTGACCAGAGTGGAGTGACATTGGGCATTTCTTTTTCATCCTCCTACTTTCATTTCAGATGTATATCACATAAAAGATTAATATGCAAAAAACTCATATGCTAAGACTTTCCCTAAAAACAAAGGACTCCAGCAGCTGTTGCATTTCTAGCAGGTAGGAGTTTCCCTATTCTACAACACAGGTTAAGCGCTTACTCATTTAACAAATATTCCCTGACTATCTACCACGTGTCAGGCACAAAAAAACAAAAATCTTTGCCCTCATGGTGTAAAAGACAGTGATCAAGATACAGAAGTATATTAGTGAAAGGTGCTAAGGAGAAAAAGTACAGAAGCAGAATAGGAACAGGAAATAGAGAGGAAAGTGACATTTCTAGACAGGACTAGGAAGGCCTCACAAAAAAGAACATTTGGGAAAAGATCTAGGGGAGACGTCTTTAAGATCCAAGTAGAATCATAGTAAGTTCTAAATTAATCTGACTCTGACTCAAAACAGCAGCAGGAAGTTTCACCTCAGCTAGGCTTCGAGTCCCTCCCCTTGCAGGGTTGTGAAGTCTGCAGGGTTTACATCTTGGTCCTGCAGTGAATGTCCAGACTTCATCTTGCTCTAGTTTGGTTGCTCCTGAGGACCAAGAGTCATAGCCTTCTTTTTTAGGGCTATGCAGTCATGGCTTAATCTTGCCACCCAGGCATCCAAGTGCCATCTCATGATAGAGGCTCTCCTCTATCCCCATAGCCCCCCATCGAAGGAGTTGGGGCTACTCTGGGAACTCTTCCCCACCGCCCCCCAAAAAAACTGAAACCTGTCTTTAATTAGGAGGATCTTCACAATGTGGCCACTTCTCAAATTTTAACAGATATTTTCTAACAACCCTTCTAGTGACGTAAGCTCCCAAACAGTAAGTATATAAATGGGTAGTGGTGGACATTGTGTTAAGTGAAAAAAGGCCTACACAGAATGTGAAATACTACATGACATCACATATGTGGAATCTAACAAAGTTGAACACGTAGAAGCAGAGAGCAGAGTGGTGGTTACCAGGTTAGGAGAGTTGGGGAGATGTTGGTCAAAGGATTAAAATTAAAACAAAATGAAGAATTAACCTAGAAGGTAACACATGTGCACAGGAAATCAATGTGAGTCAACTCCCTGAATAGCCATCCTTATCTCAACCAGCAAAAAACCTTGTTCCTTCCTATTATTGCTTATACTCTCTCTTCAACAAAATTAGCGATAAGAGCAGAATAGTTTCTGCCAGGTAGCGAGAGGTAAGGCGGGGTTAGGGAGGGGTGGTTGGTAAGGGAGGGGGCAGGGGAAGGGGGGAGAAATGACACAAATGTTGTATGCACATATGAAGAAAATAAAAATTAAAAAAAAAAAAGGAAGAAACAAAACAGCCTGTGTGGTTGTTTCCAGGTGTCTGGCTACCTTTGTTTTGAACCACAAAGAGAACAACCGTTTTTTGTGTTTTTTTTGGTGGAACTGGGTGTTGAACTCAGTGCTTTGTGCTTACAAAGCAGGTGCTCTACCACTTGAGCCACACCTCTAGTCCCATAATGACCTCTTTCAGATGATGAGTCTCAAAGTAAGAGCTTTCATTACTTTTAATCTCCTAAAGAATTAAGGACACAGCAAAATCAATATGCCAGTAAATTACGGCCAATAAATTCAAATAATGAGTGTGGCCACTGAAAAATTGTATTTACAGTACACTCAAAATTGTCAGGATAATTGTCCCCCCTTTTACAAATTAACATTATTACTGTCTGTGCTTGAAGTGGGGAGTGGGGAGGAGAGACATTCCTTTAAGGATATTCTGTGACCCACTGTTTCCTTCCTTTCCCTCCACCACCAGTTGGGGTTGACTCATCATGGTTCAGCTTATCTGGGAGACCAGGAAGTGTGTAGGTTCAGAGTTGACAATGGGAGCAGGAGACTAAGAGGCTAAATCAGAGAGATGACACTCACATGGAAGAAAGGTGAAAGTGGGAGAAAAGACAAGGAAGAAGAGGTACTGAAAAAAGAGGAGACAAAGGAGAAAAACAATCTCAGGAGGGATTGAAAAATGAGAGAAATGTAGAATAAAGAGTAAGAAGTTTAATTAAAAAAAAAAACAATGCAATGCACCCATTGTGTTAATCATACTGTTCTGGAGGTTAGAAGTGTAACATAGGCCAAAATGTAGGTATTGGTGGGATTATGTTTCTTTCTGAAGGCTCTATTAGAAAATATATTCCCTTGAGTTTTCTAGCTTCTAGAGGCAACTTGTATTTCTTGGCTTATACTTCCCTCTTCCCTCTTCAAAGCACCTCTATAACCATTCTCTGAGGTTTGATTACATCTCTCTGACTATTCTGTATGGCCAGAAAAAAACATAAGGGAAGGTTCTCACTTTTAAGGATTCTTTTAAGGATTCTTGTGATTACCTGACCAGATAATGCAAGATAATCTTCCCATCCTGGGGTCCATAAAATTTCATTTGCCTTTTGCTATGAAAGGTGATATATTCATAGATGTCAGGAATCAGGACACGTACATCCTGCACAAATTCATGCAGCTTTAATTGGAACCCTGTCTGCACACCAGAGAATCAAGCTGGCACTATTGGGTGTGTTTCCAGTCTCGCTATGTCACATGTGTTTTAGCCTGCCTACCACTTGTAATGTAGAAGTAGAATGTCATTTATTCTAAAAAATTAATATGTACTTTGGTAAATATAAATGCATCTCTACTTTTTAAAAATTATGCTGTAATATAAGATGGGAAAGAATAAGTGGATGACTTGTGAAAACTTATCTGGTAGCATGGGACCCAAGATTAGGTAGGAGCCCCTGAAGTGGGCTGTGCATTTGACTGCATGACTATTGCCAAGGCTGAGTGGTGAGTATATCACTCCTCTCCTTGACATTTCTCTGTGAAAATGCTGTGGATTCAAAATAAATTCAGGTGATTGTGAATGGGATTCCTGTAACACCCCACTAGATGCTTAAGCAGCCCAGCCTCAAGTGAAAATCCATCCTTGTTTCTTTGTAGCTGAGGGGCATTCTGCAGAATTTATTCCCTCGTCCTCAGATGTTCACGTGCTTGTGTTTGCCACACGTCACTGAAATTAGAAACTGGCCCTCTATGGAGAACATTGGCCAGAAGCCCTCTAGAAATTTGATTCTACTCTCTGATTCTGATTCTGATTCTGATTCATGCCTTGTTCTCATCTTAACCACTCTTGGACCAGGTCCCTGCACAGCTGGAAACGGAAGTAGAAATTTTCATGTGAGAAAGGAAAAGGAGGGAAAGAGAAGGTGAGCTTTGTGATTTGTAAGTTGCTATTCAAAATAAGCCTGACCTTTGCATAGAACACAGGAAGGAAATGTAGTGGCTCAAATTATCCACAATTGGGCTATTTAGTCTATTGTTTCTTCCAAATGCAAAGTAGCATTTGTTTGTTGAGTACAAAGTTCCAAGTACTTGCTGGTCATTGTCTTCATAGGTCTTTTGGGGTGAGAGAGTTTATATGCATAAGAAATCACATTTGTCTATTTCAGCAGGTCCAAATTCATATAAAACCATCTCACATTTGTTAAACACTTGACTTTCCAGAAGTCTTTTCACTTTAGATACTTCATCTAGTCTCATAGCAACTCGCGGTGATCAGGGCAGACATGAAATCAGAGTCAAGGGGAAATTAGTCATGTTATTCTCATCTCACTTGGTCCCAGGACCAGTTAGAGAGAATCTAGATTAGAACCAGTTTTCTTAACTTTAAAACCAAGGCTCTTTTACTTCATTATGTAGGAAAAAATTGCAGTAACTCAAGAGTTTGAGTAGAGTTTTAATGACTTCAAAACTGTCAGAGCTATAACACTGATTTTCACTTACAATATATATTTAGCAGCATTTGACTATAATTTGGTGGTAGGGAGAACAGGAAACAAAGGAAAAAGAAGATGGCATTTCATGCAATATTATATAAAAATATAACAAGATCTTGAAAATGCAGTATTATATAAAGAAGCAAAAAGACTCAGAAAAAAAACAAACAGGTTTGCAGCTGAACTATTTTAGAAATAGCACATGATACTACATGATGAATTAAGAATCTGAAAAGCAAATGCAGAGACAACTTCTGAGTTTCAATTACCCAACATGCACAGAGGGGAGCATTTTCTGGTCAATGTAATGAATTCTAGCAAAAATGGAGTGACATGTCATTACATTTAACTTTGCAGAGTTTATAATTCTACCTCTTATGCCATGTGTTTCTTTTCCTTACTCTGGTTAATTTAGGCCAGTTATACAAAAATTGTTGTACTTGGGAAATGGTCAACACACTGTTTAGAGCTGGTTCAAGCTCAGTGATTTTCTGGATCGTTTATAAGATTAACCAGGTTGAAAATTTGTTGTTTTTGTTTTGTTGTTTTTAGAGGCAATCTAAAAGCACATACAAAATCTGGTTGCTCCTGGTTTTACTTGTCAGTTTTAAGAGAATGCCAATTTTAATCAAAAAAATATACTTTAAAAGAATGTGATTTGTCTTTTAAATTATCTCTTTCTGCCTCTTGAAATATTTCTGTAACCATATGGAATATTATCAGAGAAAGAGCTCCACACAAAATTCCTCCTAAATTTTTCTGTGTATTTTGCTGATGGTATTTGTGGTAGATTTACAAGTATTGCATTTAGTTAAGTGGATGAAAAGTCTTTTCTCTGTTGATATAGTGCTATTTAGGTCTGCAAGGAATGTGGGCTGGCTCGCCTTAAGGGTAGGCTCATAAAGACTGTCCAATGCCACTGTCTTACTACATGCAAGTAGCATATTCAGACCTTTATTCATCAAAACTGAATGTGTTTCATTAGGAATCTAATCAAAGAGAAAGTATGCATACTGAGAAAATTATGTAGCAATCATCTTTCTCTAACCTAAAAATAGAATAAAAATGTGTATACATTCATAGCATTTCATATCCCCACTCTCCACCAAGACCATCTGTAGACATGCATGAACCAAGAGGAGAAATTGTGGACCTCAGTGGGCTCAGCATCAAGAGTCTGTGCAATAACTTCGACTTCCTTCTCTCATTAGCTGTGTTTTCTCATTAGCACTTGCAGGCTGGAGGATAACTGGAAAGTCCTCATCTGAAAAAAAAAATAGAGAAGCAATAATTTCTCTCTTATCTTTTAATAATGGGGCAAGTGGTGGGTAGGCATTTTAAGTGAAATAATGATTAACAAATCAATTCAATTTATAAGATATTAAATTGCCCATTCTTTTCAGGACTTCAAAAATTCTGCCAATTTTATAATTGTTTAAAGAATAAACCTAGCTTTCACTTTCAGAGTAATTGCTGAACCTGATGAACTTGAACTTCAGTTCCATATAGTTTATATAAAAGATACCCTAAGAGCTCTGTAGTGCATAACTGCATGTGTGGCCCTCATTGGAACAGGATTCAAAACCTAGGGCTTGCTTAGGTAGAGAGTCTTAATAGGAAGCTTTCCACATAAAGCTAGTGCCCAAAATTGTTATGCTCTTCCTTAAATCTGCACAGAAATTTGTTTGTCTTGAGTTTTGTGCTAAGTTGAAGAAGCTTCCCTAAAAATTTTTGATGGCAAACCAATGAGCACACAAGTTGGCAGACCAAATTTTCATGTGTGTTCTAAGAAATCATAAGATGATAACTTAGTTAAAGTAGTCCAGAGCAAGATGTGCTCCTAGGTACCTAGCAGAAGTGAATGACCTCACATTCAACCTAGCTCTAAAGAATCCCTTTAAAATTGCAAGAAACTTGTATGGAAATAGGAGAGAAGAGAAAGGAAAGAGGAGAGGAAGTGAGGAGAGAGAGAGAGAGAGAGAGAGAGAGAGAGAGAGATGAATTGAGAGCCAGTAGAAACTACAGGAGACCAAATCAGACCTAGAAAGACTTCAATACGTATTGATCAGACATCAAATATAAAATAATTATGTTATTACAGTTATATAGTAGATTTTGAAGTTAATAAAAAAAGAATTTCTAGTGATGAAAACATCTGAAAATATATTTAAAAACTTAATGAATGTATTTAATAACTAAAGAGAGAATTAATGAAGTGTAAGATGGATCTGAAGAGATTAACCAGAATGTAATACAGAAAATATAAAAAGGTTAAAACATATGAACGATAGATTTATAAATTCTAACTTATTCTAATATGAATTTCATAAAGAAGTGAAAAAAAATAGGAGTAGTAATATCTGAATCTATAGATCTAAGAACCAGCCATGATGAATGAAGGAAACACATATTTAAACATCATAAAGACAACAAAGAATCCTAAAGACAAGGATTTTAAAAGAAGTAAAATAAGAAAAATGGTCTAATCTAAAAGAAAGAAAAGAGAAACATAGAAAGCATGTCAATTAAAAGTGACAATTATAATAATAATAAAAACATTAACAGAAAGTATTAGCTAGCACTTATGAGCCCAACACTGTTCTCAGTACTTTGTATATTAACTCACTTAACAGTTAAACAGCATTATGAGGCAGGGTTATTATTATACCCATTTTACAGATGAGGTAGTGGGGGGCACAGACTGTTTATGTAACTAGCTTGAGGCTACACAGGCAGTACAGAACAAAGTGGCATTGACCACTAACCAATATTTCTCATATTTTGTTTTCTTAAAGACTATTCCTACACTGTTTCTCACAGAAAGGAAATTAGTAAAAAAAAAAAGTCAAAACACATTGTGAAATATAATAAACACAAATGGACTTAATACTCCATTTAAAATAAAAGTATTATCACACTGAATTAAAAACTCTAGCTCCGTGGGTTTTTTTTTTTTGACAATGACATATCAAAAAGAAAACATTGAAAGTAAAAAGATAAAAATATTTACCACACAAAGACTGATGAAAACTCATATAACCATAGTTTAACAAAATAAAATATAAAGCAAAAAGCATTGCTACAGGCAGAGGACAACTACATAATAATAAAATGCTTGCTTCACCAAGTGGCAATAAAAATTACTTATTTTGTTTTTTTTGAGACAGGGTCTCTCTGTGTGGTCCAAACTGATGATCCTCCTGCCTTAGCCTCTTAAATGTTAGGATTACAGATATGTACTACTGTGCATACCTATAAATTTAAACTTACATATTATATTCTAAATTTATATATGCTAGTAACATATCTCTAAAGTATGTGAAACAAAATTGGATGAAACGTTACAGAAAAATCCATCATTGCAGAGGAAGATTTGAATAATTCTCATAGTAACTGATTGATACAGTAAGAAAAATCTTTAAGCATATGAAAAATTTGAGAAGTACCATGTTGTGGAGTGAATTGTGTCTCCCTGCAAAATTCATATGATGAATCCTAACTGCCAGTGCCTCAGAATGTGACCACTTTTGGGTATAGAGTTTTAAAGAGGTAATTTAATTATGTTAAGGTCATTTAAGGTGGGCCCTCCTTCAATACAATGGTGATTTTCACACAGAGGGAACACCAGTGGCCAAGGGTGAAGATGACAAACTACCAGGCAGGGAGAAAGGTCTCAGAAGAAACCAAACCTGCTACTTTGATGTTTAACTTCCAGCTCCAGGACTGTGAGAGAATAAATTGTTTAAACCACCCAGTCTCTGGTACTTTGTTTAGGCAGTCTGAGAAAACTAATACATACCATAAATGAGCTTTATTTAATAGGCATATATGGAACAATTAGTCTAACAAACGCACATGTATTGTTTGGAAGCAATGAGAAACATTTATAAATATGAACTAAGTTCCGGGCTGTAAAGCAAATCTCCAGATATGTTTGTGAAAGTGTTGCACATTTCAAAAAACTGGTCTGCTATTGTTAACATTCTGTGATCATAGTACCATTAAGCTACATGAAAATAACAAAAAGGAACCTGGGAAACACCCAAGTTTAAAACTTAAGATACACATAGGCCTGACTTATAGAGCAAATAAGTCATCAAGGAAATCAGAAAGTATTTGGAACTCAGATCACCAGAAAAATATTCAAATATGTGTGTATATGTGAAGCTACATGCTTGTAGAAAATCATAAAGACTTACATGCTTTATACAAAAAAAGAAGAAAATTAAGGAGTATAAAAATTAAGAAGTTAGAAAATGAGCAATAGGTAGTGGCCTTGTTCTCGCCTTTCTCCTCTGTTTGGCGCGCACTCTGCGCCGCCTCCGTCAGCCTCCTGCCGCCATTTCCTTAAGACCACATCATGCCTTCAATTAAGTTGCAGAGTTCTGATGGAGAGATATTTGAAGTCCATGTAGAAATTGCCAAACAATCTGTGACCATCAAGACCATGTTGGAAGATTTGGGAATGGATGATGAAGGAGATGATGACCCAGTTCCTCTACCAAATGTTAATGCAGCAATATTAAAAAAGGTCACTCAGTGGTGCACCCACCACGAGGATGACCCTCCTCCTGAAGATGATGAGAACAAAGAAAAGTGAACAGACGATATACCTGTTTGGGACCAAGAATTCCTGAAAGTTGACCAAGGAACACTTTTTGAACTTATTTTGGCTGCAAACTACTTAGACATAAAAGGTTTGCTTGATGTTACATGCAAGACTGTTGCCAATATGATTAAGGGGAAAACTCCTGAGGAGATTCGCAAAACCTTCAATATCAAAAACGACTTTACTGAAGAGAAGGAAGCCCAGCACCTTGAACCTTTTGTATAGGCCACACATACTTGATTTCAGAAAAGCAAGCCCAAAGAATGGGTACGCAAAGAGAGCCAGTGGTGTGAAGAAAAGTGAAATGTTGTGCCTGACACTGTAACACTATAAGGATTGTCCCAAATACTAGTTGCATTGCTCTGGTTTAATTGTTAATATTAGACAAACAGTAGACAAATGAAGTAGCACATCAATTGTATTAGCATAAGATTGTCCTTATTGCTTGTGTAGTTTGAGTGCAGACTCCAAACCTATGGCTGAGTTTCTGCTAGTATGAGCAAAAGCTTTTCTCTTTACTCTGAATAAAACTGAACTATGGGTTCTCTGTAGAAAGTGGCATTTTGGACTTTTCCTCTTCTGTCAAGCAATTTCTGCCTAGTTCATTGTCCAGTTAACTCTAGTTAAGCTTTTAAAAGTTGGCATTGTAAATAAAACAACTTGCAAAAAGTTTTATTATCTTTATTCATGAGTTGGAAACTGGAAAAGGCCTACTTGAAGTTAATGGTCTGAGTGGGGATATTGGGATGTCTTCCAGACTCCTGGAGTCAAGCACATACCACGGATACTGATTAGCTTACATGAAGGAGGGCTCTTAATTGGACTTGAGGACTTTTTTTTTTTTTTAATTTTCTCAGCTTTGAATATGTTGTCTAGAATCAGCTACCACCCGGTTTGTGGGTTTTTGGGAGAAATGTAAGTAGACAATTTGTTAGCTTTTCAATTTAAAAAGACAATTCATGTGATATGTCATCTTTTTATAATCAGTGTTCCCATGTGGGGAAAACCATTCACACCACTTGCATGTAATAAAGTAATTAAACCTTTAAAAAAAAAGAAAAAGAAAATGAGCAATAGAATGAATTAAGAGAAAGAATAAATAATTCAATTAAGTGGAAACAAAACACCAGAGAATCAATAAAACTAAAAATTCTTTGAGAAGACTGACAAAATTGTTAACTTTCTGGCAAGAATGCTTTTTTTAAGACAGCAAAAATGGACAATGTAAGGAACGAAAAATGGGGCAATGACACAGATACTATAGGTTTGTGAAACATAACAAGAGCAAATTTTGAAGAGAAAATTTCATTTTTAAAATAAGGAAATGAAACCTGAATGGTCTACAAACATTAAATAAATTGAATCAATAGTTTAAAATTTGCACAATTATACATTAGCCCAGAAAGTTCTACAAAACCCTGGAGAAAGAAAACCCTGTAGAAAGTAAGAAGGAATAATTTCTAATTATTTCCGAAGGCATACTCTTGATACAGAACCTTGAGATGCAAATTTAAGAAAGGAAAATCATAGATCACTCTTATATTAAAATCAATGTAAACATGTAAAACACAATGTTACTTAATTCATTTCATCAAAGAATAAAGTAGTGCATAGTGATTATACTGGGTTTCCTTATCTGCAAGTTTATTTTAATG